TGTATGCATGCTCACAGGTGGTGGTGGTGGTGGTGGTGGTGGTGGTGGTTGTGGTGGTGGTGGTGGTGCTGGTACTAGTACTAGTAGTAGTAGTAGTAGTAGTAGTAGTAGTAGTGGTTAGTAGTAGTAGTAGTAGTAGTAGTGGTAGTAGTGGTAGTAGAAGTAGTAGTTAGTAGTAGTTAGTAGTAGTTAGTAGTAGTAGTAGTAGTAGTAGTAGTAGTAGTAGTAGTAGTAGTCGTCGTAGTCGTCGTGGTCGTGGTCGTGGTGGTGGTGGTGGTGGTCGTCGTCGTAGCAGTCATAGACGTGGTCCTAGTCATAGCCGTAGTCGTAGCAAAAGTCGTCGTCGTCGTCAAAGTCGTCGTCGTCGTCGTCATAATCGTAGTTGTAGTCGTGTCATGATGGTCATGACGGATCATGACTGTCGTCACCACCATCACACACCATGTTCATCATCAGCATCATCACCATCACCTGCTGAAGCCTTCTTGCTTACGGCCTTGGTACCTTTGCACGCAGAATCACCGGGGAACCTGGGTCGCGGCCCTACTTGGACAGTGTACAAGGCAGTCCGAGGGTCCATCTCGTGCTCGCAAAACTTGTTGAAGCAAAAACATAATACCTTGTAATATACTATACTTAATTATACTGTATTATATTATACTAAAATCTACTATATATATATATATACTGTTATATTATCGTATATTATAAGGTATGGTATTATGGTAGCCTTGTGAAGTCACTCAGGGGCCCTCGGAGGAAGCCCCCATCAGCGGCATCAGAAAGTCCAGAGCATCGGGGCTCATGGGCTGCACCACCGGCGCATCCTGGGAATTAGGGTCTAGGGTTTGGGGTTTAGGGATTTAGGGTTTGGGGTGTAAGGTTTGGGGTTTAGGGTTTGGGGTATAAGGTTTGGGGTTTAGGGATTTAGGGTTTGGGGTTTAGGTTTTGGAGAGCAAGTGCGAGACAGCCTTCGGGTTTTGGGGCTTGATGTTTCTGGGCTTCAGGGCTGAAGAGCTGGGGGCTTTTTGTAAGGGTTTCAGGATCCAGGTGCTGGAGGTTTGGGGGTCCGAGGCTGAAAAGTTCTGGGGTTGAAGACCTTCAGAGGTTAAGGGGGTCGGGTATGGGCATTCCATACGAATCCGGGCGTTGCTTCGGCCACTGTACATACACGTCGCGGCCCTCGGACCACACCAGGCCCAACCTCCGCTGCAAGTCAGCCAAAAGGGATACCTGAAGAAAACATAAAATCAACAGAATGCTTTTTGACCTCATTCTAGTATACATCAGACACGGGGATAACAAGGGGATACCGTATCGCAGGCCTTCGGGCTTTGGAACCATTGATGGGTCCGCTCCTGGACGTACTCGTAGGCCACGAACCCCGTGATGGCAATCATGGCCAAGCGACCATTCCTTGTCGCTCGAAAGCCGGCATTCCCAAACTCAACCGGTGTAGGGTTTAGGCTTGAGCTCAGGGCATAAGGTCAAGTCACGAAAACAAAAACAAAAAGCGAAGTACATGCAGGATTCTGCCATGGCAGGCTCCTCGAACCCTGTTGCACAACCCAGAACAAAGCAGCCCAGTCCTGTCAGAGGGATCGGGAATACGCCGGACCACTACAACCCATGTTGATAATATGTTGTTCGTTGTTCATTGCGACCACCCATGAAGGGTTGCGGGATCCATCTCTTTACTTCCGCCAAGACTGGTGCCCTTGCCACTGGCTCCCCGTCCCCACCAAGCGGGAACTGCTTCAAGTCAGGTCTCTTGAGCTCTGCTTCATCCATCCAAAGCCTGACAGGCATACTCATCGTTCTCTCCATCTATTTGGCTAGCTAGTTAGCCGAGTATGTATGTAGACGAACAGATGGAAAACATTAAAATGAACCGTACAGTAATCACAGATGCACATGCCGTGCGACGGGGAACCATCCCAAGTTGTGTCAACCTGCATATTCAAGGAGCACCGATCGAGGGATCGGTGAAGACTTACAAAAAATCTTGACCTGTGGCGCTAATTCCTATATCACGGTCCCTGCAGAGTCCGGAGTCTGACAGGCACTGTACAGAACCTCAGCTGAGAAGCTTACGTAAAGGAATTGAGCGCTGTCGCCAAGCACTCTAAAGCCTGATATAATGGAGTAATAGTTTAATTATAGTACAGTATAGTATAGCAACTATACTATACTGTACTATAGTGTAGTGTAGTGTAGAATAATATAGTATAGTATTCTGAGTTTGCAAAAGTTTCCTTTCCCACCTGCCGGCTGGAATGAAGCCTGCAATCACCGGCGGTCGCACTTCTCTGAGGCCTGCCAGTGTTAGCAACGGTCTAACGAGAATGACAGAGAGCTGCCACTATCATGTAGATCTTGACCCCAAACCTCCAGGTTTCTACTATAGAGGGTACTTAGAGCCCCTGGGGCCCCATATAGTAGGTACAGTACCTGGAGGGTTAGGGTGAGGTCTAGGGTTTGGGGTTGTTGAACGCTCGTTTCAGAGAATGCCCTCCCACTCCGTTCCGAGACTAACTTCCCAAAGCAACGTGCGCAGCATTGGGGATCCTTGTTCAAGAAGCCGCAGCTGACCAAAAAGAAACCTATACTTTGCCATCGTGCTGCGTCACTAAGTCTCAAGATCCAACAAGGACCAACATGAATCCACATTCCGCGAAGCCGAACACCTACATTCCGAACCTCGCCCCCGAAGCCCAAACTCTAAAAGCCCAGAACCCTAAACCCCCAACCCAAACCCTAAACAAAACCCAACACCGAAGCCCGGAACCATAAATCCCAAAGCCCCCAACTCCCGCCAAGGGGCCGAGAGGGTCGAACTTGTTGTCTCCGGGAGGCCCGTCGGGCTTGGAGACGTCCAGGATGCCAGTGAAAACGAAAAGAATTCCTAGAAACCTCGGGGGCTTCAGGTTTTTTTTTTGTTAGGGTTTAGGGTTTAGGGGTTTAAGGTTTAGGGTTTAGGGTTTTAGGTTCGGGAGAAACCTCTGCAGCTTGGGACTTGGGGGTTCATGAGTTGGATCCCAAACGCTGAATTCGAGGTGCCAGCAGTTGAAGGGATTACGGCTTGTCAAGCTTTCCGACTTCCTAGGTTGGATGTAAGGCTTTTGGGCCAAGGATGTTGCAAGAGCTTTTGAAAACGAAGGAGTCTTCTGCAGCAAGAGTGCAATCCTTGTAGGTTCCTGGTCGGGAGAGGGTTTACACAAACATGACGAAAGAGGCACCCCAAACCCCGAACTTCTGAACCCTTATAAAGGTTAGGATTTATGCGATACTCCTAAACCCTAAACCCTAAACAACAGGGGACGTCTTTTGCGAGAGGGGCAAGCATTGGTTTAGCGGTTTGGCTAGGGCCCATAAGTCTCATCCGAAGCCCTTCCTGTAAGCTCCACCTGTAGCCGGAAAGACCAACCTTTTTAGGGTTCCTTTTTATGGTTTCTATGTAAAGAATAAAGGTAGGTCTTTTCGGTTACAGGCATGCAATACCGAAATAACGACACACCAAAGGCAGTCAAACTTCTTCTGCCTCCTTGCTAGGCTATCTATACTCAAAGTCCCACAATGCCAAAACCGACAAAACAACCCTGAATTACCCTAAACCCTAAACCCCCAAAACCTCCAAACCCCGAACCCTTAGTCCGAGGGTCAGGATCAGCTGGGGCTCTCCGAAGCCGCCGTTGAGGAAGGAGGGCGCTCGGCTATTGGGTGCCAGAAGTGATGGCTGCTCCGTCAGCTTGGCCAATGGAGGCTGGAGCCTTTAAAAGCTTCTCTGAAAGTCTTGAAATCTGAGAAGTAATGTATAAGTCTAGCATTTAAGATCAGTTGGGGTGTGGGGTTCAGGGTGAAGGGATTCTTAGGAAGTACTGGTGTCCTATGCGAATGAAGACGATCGGAACTAGCTTTCATGCCGGTTTCAGCCAGGTTCTAAACGACAGCCTACTTACAGCACAAGGCGATCCTCCTTCCGCCAAGCATTCGAGTCATTCCAGTTTTGGGTGGCGAGCACTCAGAATACCAATTAGAAACAACAGATACAACAACAAGTAGAACGATGATAAAAGAGACATCTTTCATAACAAGCCCGAAACCCGCATCCTGAAACACCCACTTCCATCTTCGGGAACTTCAGAAAATCAGAGACAGTAGTGCAGATCCGAAAAATTAGGATCCTGCCAAAACACAAACCCGAATACTAAGAATCCCATATTTCAAGGCCAAAGGTCATCTCGGCCAGTGGCCAGCCCACAGCAGCCAGCATCGCCAGGCGGGCGTGCTTCAACTCGGCCTGAGATCGGGGCCTTAACAAAATTGTAGCCTGTACATTCCCTAAACCCTAAACCCCAAACCCGTAAACCCCTAAACCCTAAACCCTAAACTAGATTGTACATATAAACCCTAAACTAGATTGTACATATGCGAAGACACATGTCGGGCTGGTCGAGTTCAGGGTTAAGTGGCCCGGAGATGGTCTGTAGGCTTCACTTTGGCATATGGTCTTTGACAGATTGTGCGAAGGGTGCAGAACATGCACATGCACATACACACACACACACACACGTACATGTAGTGTGTGCGTGTTTGTGTGTGCGCAATGTGTATATAATGTAACATACTGTAACCATGTACGTTATGTGTTGGAATGTACCTTGCATGTATGCATGCATGCATAGACGGACGGGTGGATGTATTGTGTAGGCTGTATGCATGCAAGCACGAACTACGAGAAGCCTTTCTGCTGATGGTGCCAACTTACAAGTGGTGGGCTGTTGGTTTATGACTGGGCATACGTATGGACTCAGCAGCCTAAGAATTCCAAGATTCTTAGGGCTGGGGATCGATAAACCAATTGATCAAAGGATAGCCAGTCTTGAGTTTTGATAGGCTCGGTTGAAATCACGGAAGTTTGGCATTGAGGCTACGAGTAATTTGGGTCGGGTTCTGCATCCACATCCTCAAATCCGCACTCAGTGTCTAAACCCTAAGCCACCAGCCTCCCGCAGGTTGTTGAAGCCCTTCAAGTCGCGTGCCAGATTCAGGGGGTCGAAGCCCGCATCGCCGGGCTCATTCGCGGCAAACCTCGTGATGAGCTTGGGCATGTAGACGTCTTCGTAAACCCCCTACCGACATAAGGCCACGAAACCTTCCCGAACAGGCAACGCATCTTCAATCTAAACTCATCCATGCCATACACTCCACACTGGCTACACCACAATTCACCACCAACCCGGACAATTTGGCCCACGGACCCAAACCTGAACTCATCCGGCCCTTCTGCTAGCAACTACCCACACCCACAACCCCAGGCAACTGCACTAAATCTAACCTCAATCAACCTGTATTCGACCCCCGATAGAACCCTCAGACATCTATGAACACAGGGGGCCTCCTGAACTGCGGCACAGGAAGAAAGGGAATGGCCAGGGGCAAGCCGGCATCTGAAACTGGCGTCTCCACTGGTGTGCTGGCCGGCTTCTTTTTGGCCATCCCAGCTGTCATGTAGCTGGCCAGCTGCACATGGGAGAGGGTTTCTAGCTTCAGGATTTCAGGGCTTAGGCTGCAGCGTTTGCAGAGAAGAGGAATTCAGGGGTTTAGGCGAAGATTCGGAATTGCAGGGTTTGTAGGTTTGGGATTTTGGGAGTTAGGGGACCGGGTTGTTCAGAGCTTGGAATTCATAGGCGTCTTAGCTGCAAGATGTAGCACAACAGGTCGGGACCAGGGAGGTGCAGCGTCTCCAAGAGCTTGGAGAAGCCGCCAGCTCTGAATGCTCAAACCCACCAAATCCGTAACACTAATCCACAAAACCCAAACAACCTCAAGCTCAGTTATCCCCAAAACCGCCAAGTCTATAACACCAAACCCTAAACCCTATAAAACTGCACGACCCTAAAAGGCTGAAACTCCTAAATCCCTTAACCCTCAATCCCTAAATCCCTAAACCCAAAGCCCCTAAGCCCTAAACGCCCTAAAGCCCTGTCATTCCCTAAACCCTAAACCCTAAACCCCCAGTACGACGGCTCACCGCCTTCGCCTCTGAGCTCACCTTCGGCTTCGGAGAAGCTTTCCTGCGCAGGATTTGATGTAGGAGGGGTTTTATGGGGCTTAGGGTTTAGGGGGTTTAGGGGTTTTATGGGTTTAGGGGGTTTAGGGGTTTTATGGGGTTTAGGGGGTTTAATTAGGGGGCCCTGATCTGGAGAACCGCCCGTCTCAGACGGCTCCCAGGCGGGAATCGGATTGCTGTCTCGTTGAAATCTACATACGATCTTACGGTTTGGACCGCCGCTAGAAGCAGGAGAGCCTGGCAAAGCCTAGACCCCAAACTCAAAACCCTGAAACCCTGTCCCTAACCCTCCAGGTACCTACCAAATAAGGGCCCTCGGGGCTCTAGCACCCCCTATAGTAGGTATCTGGAGGGTTAGGGTATATATATCTTACAAACCCCAATAGCCCTCAACCCGCAATGGCAACAGCTGCAAGCGGGTCTCCTTGTTTTCTGCTTCGTGGCTGTTGGTTCGGACTCCTGGGAGAAGCTTTTGGAGATTCAAGAAGATCCTCAAGTGTGTAATTATAATAGGGTTTTTGGGCTATATTGTACGAAAATTTTAATATGGAAACCCCAAAATAGAATCCGACTTTGGGGTATAGTATACTAAAATTACAATAAGCAAACCCCAAAGTATAGGATCTTCGGGAGGCAATCTCGTGGCAGGCAAGCTTGAAGATTCATAGTCCCGATGTCAGCTGCTGCTGGCTGCTGGGGTGTTGGTGCTAGCGGCGCTGCTGCTACTACTAAACTAAATGAAGCTGCTGCTGCTGCTCCATGCTGCTCCCAATTTCTCCTTAGTAACACCGCGACAGCCACCACACCCAATTCCAAAGAACTAGTTTCAGAACTACTGATGCCATGTGGCGCTTGACGCGGCTGTGGGATTAATTCATGCCAACAATGTTTCTCTTGCTGTCCTAATTCCTGTTCGTCGTCATTGTAGCTTCAAGCAGCTCCGGTAAAGTTGAGCTGGAAAGTGCTCGCGCAAGGTTTTGCAACACTGTTACTACTGCTCACTCCACTCTTGCGCTGCTGAGAGCGGGCATGCGTTTGCCTCGGTTCGTTAGGCCCCAAGCTTGCTGAAACATGGCTTCCCAGGCAAACACCGACGAATCCAACCCTAGGCACCTTTTACGGCTCTGAGGGCTTTGCAGATTTTTGTGATTATTATGGCTTCCTTTTGCAGCCTGGTGTCAACAGTTCTTCTGTTGGAAGACCTGAGTACATCCGGCGGTGTGGTGCTGCTCAACCCTAAACCGCCTGAAAGCTAATGCCTAACCCATGCCTAACCTATGCCTAACCTAGACCCTAAACCCTTCTCTGTTCGGGCTGCATACTAGAGGAGACTGATTTCCAAACGAGGCCGGCTCATGGGCTGACCCAAAATCATGCCAGCAACGCTGCATCTTTGGAAGCATCCCTCACACAAACATAATATGAGGATCCTAATTTCCGAAAACTCGGCCAACACCTCGCAATTGCACAGACGTGAACATGAGTAATACTATGCTGGTGTTACATTAGTACTTTTTGTTACAAGTACACTGCTTTGTGTTGTTGCTACGCATTAAATCCCCNNCCCCCCCCCCAAACCCTAAATCCTAAGCCCCTAAACCCTAAATCGTAAATGAACCTATAAGCCTATAGACCCAAAATCCTCTCTGCCTGGATCCTCGCCCGTGCAGCAGAAGCGCCGACCCTTGCGCCCTCGGCGCGCGGCGAGGAGCGCGGTGCGCCACCCTCTGGAAGCCTGCAGTCTGGGCAGCATTAATACCCAGAGACTCCAAAACCCCTTAATTCAGGAATATACCTTAAATCTTATTAGGGTTTCTATTGCATTTTAAGGTATATTCCTTAACTAAGCGGTTTTGGAGTCTCTGGGTAGGTGGGATCGTGATCATTATACCAGTTAGATTATATTTGCAAAATAACAACAACAAAAACAACAAGAACACTAAGAAAAAGACTGCGAATACGAGTGAAGGATAATAAGAATCGGAGCAAGAGCAAGAATGATAGCAAGGGTAGCAATAAGAATAATCATACTCATGCTATTGCAAACATCACATATTCCGACAAACCTACGAACATGGTTGACATCCAACGCATCGGAGCTTGCGATTGGGCCATGAACAGGATGGCAATGCGGAACAGTGCCAGTAAGAAGCACTATAAGAAGGACAACAGCAGAAGACGTACATGTCAATGATCCTGTTTATCGCCACACCAAAACTACCACGCATCCTAGTGCAGGTCATATCCCTAGCTGTGCTAAGTCAAACATCGATGCCGGCAATGTAATCGCCATCACAAACGTCATGAGTGCTAGAAGTTGAAACCCAAAACCCTAAATATGGCTTGAATCATAAACCCCAAATCAGAATTTGAAACCCAAAATCCTACATATGGCTTGAGCCCTCCTGAGCATCGAAACCCAGCGCCCTAAACCGGAAACCGAACATCTGAGCTGCGGAAGACACTGAGACCCAGGCTTGGCTGGCTTCTGCTGTCCTGAAGGACGTCCGCCTCTCAGTTTAGGGTTCAGGGTTCAGGGTTTAGGGTTGACAAGTCAAGCTGTATGTCAGGGTACAATCTAGGAGTTTAGGGTTTAGACAGCCGAAGGTAGAGATTGGAAAAGGTTTTGGAGGATTATCTTTCTGCGGACTACCTAAGGCGAGAGAATGATGCTAATGAATCCCGCCCCTATAGACAACCAGCGTTCGGGATTTAGGCTTCAGGTTAGGCTTGCAAAACTCCCAGATCGTATCCTGCTGCGGCCTCCTCATCAGAACACAGGCCACCAAACCCGTGGCGGCAACCGCAAACGCCGACGGCATGCCTGGATCTAGGAACGAAGCCTTCTGGCTGCGTCCATTGAGAACATCGTAGCAGTGCGAATATGGCATGTGGCAACTACTCTAGCACATACTCCTGACACTGATGGGTTGGTCCTAGCATGCATGCTTGGGATGGTGGTTCTGATTGCAGGCTGCTGATGGCCTGACACACGGCAGAAGCATGAAGGGGCAGGAATGTTGATACGAGCGGGCTGTGATAGACCCCTGTGTGAATCCTAATTTGGCGGATTTCCTTGCCACACCTACAACTCCAGAATCAGCGAGAAAGACAACTTGTGTGGCCCCTTGATAGAACTCCACACCCTCGATGGTCTCCGAAATCACCTACTAGTAGCCCTCAATCCGTGCCTTTCCTCCAACCAACCCCGAATAGGGATCTCTAATTCTCTGACGTCCCGTAGAACGCCCCTTTTTGATAGACACTGTTTCTATATGGACATACATACACACATACATAGACATATACATATACATATACATATACATGTACATATACATATGCATATGCATAT